GCACCAAAACCATGGTGAAGGCAACGGCCGCTTGCCTTCACCGTGTGTTTTTGGCACCCAAACCATGGTGAAGGCAACGGCCGCTTGCCTTCACCGTGTGTTCTTGGCACCAAAACCATGGTGAAGGCAACGGCCGCTTGCCTTCACCGTGTGTTTATGGCACCAACACTATTATGGTGAAGGCAACGGCCGCTTGCCTTCACATGGTGTTTTTGGCACCAAAACCATGGTGAAGGCAACGGCCGCTTGCCTTCACCGTGTGTTTTTGGCACCAAAACCAGGGTGAAGGCAGCAGCCGCTTGCCTTCACCGTGTGTTTTTGGCACCAAAACCATGGTGAAGGCAACGGCCACTTGCCTTCACCGTGTGTTTTTGGCACCAAAACCATGGTGAAGGCAACGGCCGCTTGCCTTCACCGTGTGTTCTTGGCACCAAAACCATGGTGAAGGCAACGGCCGCTTGCCTTCACCGTGTGTTTTGGCATAGCCCAGATGCAAGCCTGGTCTATATACGTAAATTCAACCCTCGCTGGGGGCGACTGGGGCGCAGTGGCGCGCAGTGGGAGGCTGCGGGGGGGTGAAGGGTTGGGCCTGCCTTGGGCTCGAATTTCGTTACTCTAACCCAAGTAGCCCAGATGCAAGCCTGGTCTATATACGTAAATTGAAGCCTCGCTGGCGACTGGGGCGCAGTGGCGCGCAGTGGGAGGCTGAGGGGGGGGGGTGAGGGGTTGGGCCTGCCTTGGGCTCGAATTAAACGTGAACCAGCCAACCGGCCAACAGGGATCTGTGCGCCGGCCCCGGGGTCGGCGGCGGACAGTAGAATGATTTTTCATATTAGTATAATGATGATTTTCGAGGCGGCTCCGACCCCAGCCACGGCGCCGCAACTGCAACGGGCCCTGGACACGGGATTGTGGGGAGGGCGGAGGGTTTATAGGGTTTCTAGGGTTTATAGGGTTTAAGGGTTGCGATACTTTGTATAGCGGAGCTTTTGGCGGCTTTCTTGTGCGTTTCCAAGAGAACGCCCGCCCCGGCCGGCGAGGAGACGGTCCTGCGGCATCTTTGCAATGAGGCCGGCCCGAGCTGTGTGGGTCCTTGTGGGGGTGGTCGGTCAGCCAGGGTCCGGGTACAGACGTTTCTGATATGCACAGGGCTGTGCCAACGCTTCTGACGGGACTTGGTCCCTGATCTCTGAGTACTAGCAGTTACAGATACAGACTACTGACGAGCAGCTGCGTAGCACAAAGGGATGAACTTGGCAAGGAAAGGAGAGGCTCCAGTTCTGCTCTTCGTAGCGGAAGTGGGCGGTGCGCCCTGGTAGCGGTCCGGTGCGGGGAGCGTTCTGTTGTCGAAACCGAGTCTGTTCACGTGGACTTCTGCAAGCTCTACGATGCTCTGGGATGCCCATGCAAGCAGTGCGACGCGCGGCGGCGAAGCAACCTGAAACCGAAGAACAGGCCGTGAGCCGATGACCTTCTGGATGCTCGATGATGTTCCACTTGTGGTCGCTCTGTAGCCTACTGTAGCATGTCTATGCAAGATGAGCACGACGAGTTGCGGTGGAATGCTCGTGCCTCGGAGCGACCCCATGCAGCCCTGCCCGGCCCACACACACGGTGTGGACCACCTTTGCACAAGCAGAAGTGCCCAGAATGCAGAAATCCTACAGCCTGGAAGACTCGGAACAGGGCACTCTTCATGCCTTTGACCTCCACCCTGGCTCTCGGCTGAGATGCAAGGAAGCCGGCGACCCTAAGCAGCACGAAGAGCTGGCTGAGCTGGCCGAAGGTCTCATGCAGGCGGGAATATAGTCCTGGAGTGCGCAGCTCCAAGCTGGAGCATTTCTTCCTGCACCCCTCGCTTTGCTTATTACCTCCATGGTCAACATCATAGTCCAATATGCACATATGTCATATAACCACCTATGAATGTATCGATCTGTATGTCTATCTATAGGTCTATCTATCTGTATCTGTTGATCCATTTGTTTATCTAGCTACCCAGCCAGCTATCTAACCGAATCTAACCATCTGGCTATCTAGATGTCTTTCTACCTAGCAATGATCTATGTGTGTATCTATCTATTTACCTCATGTGTCTATCTATCTAATTATCTATCTATCTATCTAGCTATGTATATCTCTATCCACTCATCTCTGTGTGTGTGTGTGTCAGTCAGTCAGTCAGTCAGTCAGTCAGTCAGTCTGTCTGTCTGTCTGTCTGTCTGTCTGTATCTATGCATCTATCCATCTTTCCATCCATCCCTCTTTCTCTATCTGTCAATCTATTCGAACCTCAATCTTTATCTATCTCAATCAGTCCATTTTATTTGAATCTGTCTATCCATCTGTTTATCTATCTGACTATCTCTCTTTCTTTCTGCCTGTCTAGCTGTCTATCTGTCTATCTGTCTATGTATCTATCCATCTACCTATCCAGGGTGCTCACCTTTTCGTAAAATCCGCGGGAATATCAGCACACTACGGTTTAGGCATATGGAACAGATCTTTCAGACACATTATGCGCGGAAATTGTCAGACAAAGGCGTGGGCGCTTTAAGGCATCACGCGCGTATTATCCTGGCGATGCCTTCTGCACGTACCGCACGATGCATTTACAGGTGCGCTGGAAACGCAATATGCTGATGTATCGCTAAGTCTCATCCATTCCCCACGGAATGTGGCAGAGAATGCGTCAGGATTTGGTCCTGGAGACGAATTCTGCACGCACCACACAATGCAGTTGCGGGTGCGCTGGAAATGCACATGCAGATGCTTTCGCTAGTTTCTATCCACTCGTAGATTCGGAGTGCCCGGATGCATTCGACACGAAGGCTCGGTCCTGGAGATACTTTGATAGTGTGAAGTACAGGATGCATGTACAGGTGCACTGGAACTGCATGCACGTATCTCGCTACCAAGTCGCCGTCCTTGATGTGCTCGGGGTCGTTGTCTCTTGGAGTTACACCGACTTTGGCGCGAAATTTTCGCACTCCTTGATGCGTTCGAGGTCGTTGTCCTTTGGATCTTCACTCCACGATGCATGCATTTCTATGCAGGTGCTGGACATGCATGTTCGCATGTCTCCCCGCCTTTTTTCTCCATCCGACACGCATTCTGAACAATCCCATTTATGATTTCTGAAAAATCCCCGGCACATGTTTGATATATCATAGTATTTCTGAAAAACCGTCCCCATGTGCACGATAGATCGGATCTCAGCCCTGATAAATCCGTTTCATGCGTTGCACCATGGCGCGGGAAAAGCCCATCACCCTACTATCATCATCTTCGCCATTACCATATCGCTGTGCACTATGTTGCGAAAAGCGGCAACTATGCTGCAAAATATGATTTCTACCAGAAATGTCAAACATCCTTCTGTAGTATGCCGCATAAAGTGGCGAAGCGCTGCGACACCAGTATTTTTGTGCTTGCTCGCGCAAGGCAAGAACGCTTGTGACAGTGCGTCGAGGGCAAAAATCCTTCTGCAGTGCAGTATGTTGCAACAAGGGATTTGTCAATTTGTGTTCCACGCTTTGATGTGGTTTTCTCGCTCTGCCTTCTGCAGTTGTTTGCTTGGCGCTCTGTGCCTGTTTTCTTTTGCTTTTCTGCCTCTCTGCTTTTCCGCTTCTCTGCTTGTCTGCTTAGCTCCACGCTTTTCTGTCCTGCTCCGCTGTTCTCCTGTCTGCCCTGCTATCTCTAAATGAATTTTGAGGTCCACTATTGTTATTATTACTACTACTATTTTTCTCAGACTTCGTACTGCTACTGCTACTACTGCTACTGCTGCTGCTTCTGCTACAACAACAACAACTACTACTACTACTACTACTACTACTGCTACTACTACTACTACTACTACTACTGCTACTACTTCTACTACTACCTACTACTGCTACCACCACTAGAACACAGCCGCTGCCACCGCCAGTACAACAAGAAGGACAATCACAACCACAGCAACAACACCAGCAGCAGCAGCACCACCACCACCACCACCGCCAGCACTCATGGTTCTACACAGCGCGGTCTTCGCTGCCTTAGCCTTAGCCTGGAACACCCCCGTCCTCCCTTGCTCTGGTCAAGGGTGGGGTAACCCCCAAACCGATTCGGGAAGCATGACAGGAAAGGAGCAGGGTTGTAATGGAGTCTGCCTCCCCCTATGAACACGGCCAGCTTGGGACTGTATTATGAATGACGTGATGTCAAAGCAGAAGGTGCGCAGCGCCAGAAGCATACTGGTAGTTTTTCTAGCTGCACTGGGAAACATAAGGTCAGAAACACAACCCAAACGCAAGCAACAACAAATCCTAAATTAATTCTTGCAACATTTGAAGAGTTGAAAGAACGCTGGAAGTACCAGTGTTTGGGGCATGATCGCCAGCAGGACCGACATCTTCCCCCGCTCCCCCTCAACACTCCAGCCCAACCCAAATGGAATCATCCCAAATGTCTTGAACATGAAGCAAACCCCAGGAAGTAACACGGCGCCCAAAGCGGTTGTCGCCATCTATGTCTCTATCTATCTGCCGGTCTGTTTGTCAGAGTCTATCTATCTAGCTCTTCATCTCTCCAGTTGTCTCTCTCTCTCTCTCTCTCCCCTCGCTATCTCTATCTCAAATGTCTGCATCTGCTTCTATCTAGCCGAGTAATTCAAATTATCTATGGTATCGTTGTAAGTTACAACCACGTGACGTTTGCAGTCCATGTAGACAAAACCGGAGCAATACATGTACGATGCATGTACATGGTCGTTATTTACATTGCGCCGAACTGGAGCACATGACTTTTACTTCCATATGCGAGAGTACATGCGTCCTTGCGCACGTCGAACGAAAAGGTAGCCACCGAGCGCCGACGCGGACGTAGAACCGGTAGCAAGTTGTTTCTTGTTCATCCTGTTGAGTCCATGCACATGCAAGGTGCTTGGTGGCCTTTCCAGTCCGAAGTGGAGCTTGGCTACTCTGGCAGTCGATCTTTGCATCGACATGAACAAGGGAGAGCCGACAGCCTTCTCGCTGTTACTGGGGTAGCTTGGCAACATCAGACATCTGTCGAACATCCTGCTATATCTTGCTGTAAGAATTCCGCACCCTCACATCTCATCCGGGAGCGAGGTGGCTGCCGAGCGCCTGCAGCAAAAGGATCACAGACAAGGACGACGTTGCAGTGCAGCAGGATGCACTTTCCTGGCTGCTGCTCGGATTCGCTACAATGCCGTCATGCAGAGTCTCTCAGCAGCAGTTTGCCAGTGTGTGTTTGCTCTCCTCATGCCGAACCTGATCTTGTGAGACAATTCGTTGAGGCTCTGCCTCTCTCGGAGCTTTCCCGGCTTTTGGATCCCGGCCTCAGTTGGCACAGCGAGGAGGATCTCTGCTCGCATGCAGGGGCATTGCAAGCGTCGCTGGCCGGGGACCCGGAGAGAAAGTGCACGGGGCCTGGGCCCCTGGGCTTGAGCGCGTGGCCTCCCTTCTTGCCTTTGTCTGGCGTGAGGAGGGTTGCAGGTCCGTGGCCGAGGCAGGCACGGGACTGTGCTGCGCTTCTTTGTCTCTTCTAAAGCTGCAAGTCCAGCCTCTGAGTATCAGGAGATGGTCTTGGCTGTGCAGTCTGTGCGGCAGGAAATGAAGGCCTGATGCTTTCATTCTTCGGAGTGACATTGGCCTTTGCCAAACTCCTCTGTCCGGGCCACTGTGCTGGTGCACTGCAGTGATTGTCTTCAGGGTGTGGAACCACTGCAAGCTGCCCTGGCCTAGTTCCTAGTTTCCATACTGTGGCATGCCCATATCTGCTGCCTTTATAAACCTCATAAGGCCTGGGCCCATTGTGCGCAACTTTGGCAGCGGAGTGTGCTGGCCGCGTCCTCACAGAAAAAGCGCAAGCTGCGTACGGCCACTTGCAGCTGCAACAGCTAGTAGCAGCTAGATTTCTTCATGGTTTATCGGTTTACATGCTCTCTCTTGTGTAGATAATCCTTGCAGCATGTCTGCATGTGTCAGGCACGTTCGTTGGCTTGCGTTGGTTAGCTCCGGCCACGTTGACATGGTGTTCTGTCATTTAACTTCTTATCAGGCTGCCCAGCCGCGCCGTGGGTAGTAAGTTAAGCCGGAATCTAAAGAAGTGCCGAAAACCCAGTCCCTGTACTCGTTCCTTCGTCTGTACATGTTTCAGCTTTAGCTTGCCTTCTCTTCGGTGAGGAAAAAAAGCACTTCTGAACCGCAAGCACATCCCTTGAATCTCAAACCCCCAGGAGCCGAGGGTGAAAGCGGGGCTGGAGCTCCAGAGCATCCGTCGCCTCAAGATGTGTTTCTCATACACACGCACACCATCTCAAACTGACACCGTTCCATATTGGTGCTATATTCAAAACTCACGATTCCATTGCTATTAAGGGTTTCGAATAAGTTCCATGCGGTAATCCCAGTTAATGAGTCTTACCCAGCTAGCAAGCCAAGTCGCCTCCATCAATAGCATAAAAGGGGTGAACAGTTCTGAAAGTTGAAGCAGAAGACATGCTGTAGCAGCATGAGGCAACTATATGGTGCAATACCAGCAAAAGGTTCAAGTTTCAATTTCTTTGATGCAGAGGATTCAGAAACGATCACAAGCATCATGCACAGTGCAATGACAAAGGTGCACTGCGCTAATTACAGCACTGCGTGCAGAAATGATGAAAATATTTTTCGCAGCTTCTGATGCCGGCGCCATGTAGCATCCATGCATAAAGGGAGAAGCCTTGCACAGTCTGTCGCACAACATCCGGAAGTAACTGAAGATGCACAGCTTGTGCGCAGAGTGCTGGTCGTCACCTTGCAGCACTCGTCTGCGGTGCTGCGAGACTGCTGCATGGACAGAGCTTTAGAAAAGAACCAATAGCTGCTTGTACTAGCAGTATGCAGATGTAATGCACAAGACCAGCACAACATATGACAGGTTCAGAAGTGCCGCGCGGAATTTGCTTGAGGCAAGCAGTGCAAGTATTGAAGTATTGCCGTCCATTGCATGGAAGCCGGCCCGAGCATTCAGACATGGTGCCGAAGCAGCATGCGCAGGAGCCGCCTAGAGCTCTAGATCTGGTCCGGTTGGAGCTGCATACGCCACCACAGCAGAAGCAGTGCAACGAACAAGTTTACTTGTAGTAGAGAGCTACGCTATTGTGCAACGTCGTATGACAGAGGCCGTGGTCCTTGCAAAGTTTCGCAGTAGATTTTATAAAAAGGATGCATCACTGTAAGCGAACGCATAATCTGGCGAAGCATTGCTTTGTAAGTGACGACTTGCTGCATGAAGAGATAGGATAGAAGCTACCAGCAGAGGGGCCCAAGAGCTTTTCCTTCTTCAGACCACGGGGAATGTCGAAGGATTACAGCTAACCCAATGACATCGCTTCGGCATTCGCAGTGTAGACATAGTCTCAGTAGACATCGGCCGCCTGGGCTGACAAGTCTCATCCGAACGAAATAACCAACATGGTGTGATTTCAAGATTATTAGGTGTTTATAGGAGCAGAGCAGACGCCTGAAGCACAAGAAGTGAAGACAGCAGGCGAGAGAGGCAGACAGCAACCATTGAGTGAATTCGTGAAGCGACGCTGAGCATCTGAATGTCGGTTTGTACTGTTCTACCACATCAATCCCTTCAATGTCTGTAGAAATAAGCAGAAAATGGTAGGTATGAAACGATCCCGAGGCAGAGGAAGAGGTGCAGAACCGGCTGCGGGAACTACTGCGGAGTTTCCCTGAGGTGGGGACCAAAACTCTCCTTCTAGTAGTGTGTTGCTGTGATATTTGTTTTTTTTCGAGTCTCGAGCTGCAGGACATAGCAATGTCGGACATACAGTTCCGATGCCGGAAGGTTCAAAGTCACGGCCTTATCTCTTGGCCGGCATCCTCATCGGAAACATTGGAGTTGTCAGGCTACTCGGAGGCTTGGCAGAAAGCGCTAGCAGCATGGCCGCGAGCGCCCCTCGACAAAAGGAGTGTTTCATGTTATCTTGCCGCTTGATCGGAGAAACTGAGCAGAGATGTGCTACGAAGCCCAAGCGCGTCTAACTGCCACATGCCGTGCTGTTCGGCCCCGCTCTACATGCTGAATCTGAGGAGTCAATGCAGATTGCCTGGACTGCTAGTCTGGGACCTTCTCGCTGCAGCCTTGTTTTTTGGAAGTGATTCCCCACGATTGCATGGCAGAAGTTTCTAGTTTTGAGGAGTTGAAGGGATGTCCCGCTGTATCGTGACGCGTCAGCATGTCGTGCCTTCAATCTTTTCGGTGTTTTGGGGAGCATGCTTGGATCAGCCACTTTGAAGAGTGCCAATACCGGTAGCTCATGCGCCAACTACCCATGAACAAGATATCTCATATCTCGGCTGCAATAATAAAAAAACGCCCGGCATCAAAGAGTTTACTCGTCGGAGCCTTCACCATTTTCGAGTGCTCTACACTCTACACCAGGTCATGGATGTCGCCGTGCCAACGGCGATGTCCCTCCGAACGGTGCATGACTCACTGCCCAAGCCTCAGCAACGGTGTCTTGTAGAATATGATTCATCGTTACCCCACCCTTCCATGATTGCGCTGTTCACAAGACCAGGATCTGCTGAGAATGTGTCGCACATCGCGCAAACCTCTGCTTCTAACCCGGCAAAACGAAGGAAGTCCCCGCTTGCGCATGCTTGCGCTTTGTCTAACCGACTGCAGGGCGACTTGATCCAATGTGTCGGTTGCGCCACCGATGATGGAAGACAAGGAAGCAAGGCTTTACTCCACACCATCGTGTGGCTCAACTGATGGGTACACGGCGATCGTGCGCCTCGGGGACTCCCAGGAAGGACCCAAGGGCAGTCCAACAGCTGGCAACAAGCCAAACTTCAATCTCCTAGGATCTCCTAGGTCCTAGGACGACAGCGTGCACTGCACCACTGAAACCATCTCAAGAGACTAGAGCCGACCGATTCACTGAATGCAAGCCCCATTTGAGTGAGCCTTCAGTGGCCACTCGAGGCTTCGCCTCGAATGGGCTTCAGATGGTGCAGAAGTTCTCTGGTCGGCCAACAACTTTGACTTGGATCCTTTGAAGCAGAAAGGTTTGAAGAACTTGGTGGCCGGAACAGCTCACACTGTGACCAGGCTGACGGAGACCTTCAAGGCGTCACCACAGAGGGCTGTCTCAGGGCCAATAACCCAGCTTCAGCAGCATGCTCGCTGGGAGTCTAGACTTGTTGATCTAACTCTAGGACTTGCGACTTCCGAGCACCGTGGGCCAGCTCAGGAGATCATGCGCCTGCACACCAGACATGGCTCCATCCTGGTCGATGTCCGCCATCGCCTTGAGCTTTTTATTTGTCCCGATGCATCCAACACTGCCCCCCGGATGCGATGCACCCAGCACAGACCCGGATGCAACCAGCACTGATGCCGATAATCTGATAAGGTCTGCTGCTGTTGGTTCAGCCGGCGTATGCTAGGCCTCTCAAAGTCCTCAGGTCTGTCCTGTGCGAAGCCCATGCGGTTGCCAAGCACAGCTCCCTGTAAAGCATGTCTTTCCTTAGGAGTGGGCAGTTTGAGACATCGCAGAAACGGCGAAGTCTCTGGGCAGAGATGCTCAGAAGATCTCAGACGGGAATGTGGCGCGACGTGGCAAGACGCACAGCAATGTGAAGCATGCCTGTTCTCCCCAAAAGGCTAGTCTCATCAACTTCCTGCTGAGCGAACCATCGGTGCTCTGCTTCCGGGCTAAGACCTGTGCGATAGCGGCGTTGACGCGAATTCAACTCTTCAGGTACAGACCATCGAGGCCATGGAATCGAACGAGGCATTCTGAAAGCCCCTCTCCCCGATTGTCTTTGAGGCACAGATCGTCGGTCCATTGCTTGAAGCCTCGTGAGGAGCTTCTGCTGTATGCCGGCATGCCGCTGTTGCAGAGGCTGCAGGATGCCCCACTTAGAGCTCTTGAGATCGGAGTGTCACTTTGCTGTGGGTCCGGGGGGGAGTGCGGGGCTGATGCCAGGAGCTGTCTGCGGCCCAGAAGAGGCTGAGAGACGAGGCGCCCCGCGTGGAGGGAGCACGTCCAGCTTCTTGAGCCCCAAGGCCGCGAACCCTCCCCGCCCTAGCCCAAGCCCGAGATATCGCCTTTTCTTTTGGGTTTTTTTGTGTTTCTCAACTAACATCTCTCCCGTTAGCATTTGTGGGGGCGCGGGTTCTGCTGTGGGGGGGTACAGGGTACAGTGTCTCACCCTTTGGGTTTGGCAACCAACGTCTCCTTTCTTTGAGGCTCTGCCATTCCCTGATAGAGTTTTGGACTTCTCATCTTTAGGGTTTTGGGTCCGGTCCGCAACATATCCTCTCAGGCGTTGGGATTTGGCTTCTTCTTCCAGGTTTGGAACCAACCCGAATTTTACCCACTTCGACTCGAATTGGTGGGCCTGAACCGGGCAAGGAGGGAGGGTGCAAAATTCAACACCATGACACGTCTCCTCAGCAGCAGGCCCAAGGAGGCTAAGGCTATTGGCCGCCAGATTTTGCGGTACATTCGAAAATGCCCGGGCACTGGGCTTTCGTACAGGCCGCCACCAGGGCATGAAGGGCCTGAAGGGGTCTATGTTCGTCGAGTTTTATTGCGGAGGGTATCAGCTCGATGACGCTGCTAGGAGGGGCATTGATAACATGGTGTTCGCAACGCCAACCTTTCATGACCCAAAGCACAGCCGAATGTGAGTTGGTTGGGCTAGCGCATGTTTTGTCGGACCTAGAAGCACAGAAGCCTTTATTTGCAGCTTTGCTTGAGACATCAGTTCAGTGTGTCTGGTATTGCGATGATAACAAGGCCACTATCTCGATTTGCAGCGTGCCCTTTGGGGCCTGGAGGTCCCGTCATCTCCATGTTCGTTCCAATATCATCAAACTTGCCCGTTTGCCTTTTGACTTCAGGGGTTTGGGTCGAGGGGGCTGAGGTAAGTTGAGGTCTTGGCATCCGAAGCCTTGGTCATCAGAGAAACAAGAACAACCATAGCAAGGATTTGACATGCGAGTCATAGAAGTGGCAGTGGGAACCTGCTGCTACCNNAGTATCAGTATTGCTACCATACGATTAGTGCTCGTGTTTTGTTGTTCCTTCGAAGCCCTATAGGTTTTGGGACCCTTTCGCTACGGTTTTTACAAGGATTTCCGATTCAGGATTCGGTTTACCGGTGCGCCCAGGGTTTTTGCACTTCGAGGGGTTCGGGGGGAAGGAGTGGAGGGGGGGGGGGGGGAATTCCATGGGTAATTCCGTCACGTCCGAAACTTCACTTGTTGTGCACGTCATAAAGCCGTACTGCTTAACAACATGTCA